TCCAATACAGTTAATAAATAAGCATCAGGAGTCTTCCTGGCACTGAGATGCACAGAACTGTGAAATGGTGTCCGAGTCCTTTTTTTTAAAAAGAAGGAGGAAAAAAAAAGTCCTTTGCTACTGCAAAAATCATAGTTTATGTTCTCCAAAGAATGGCCCTAGTGCCAGAACAAGCAGTGGGATGAGCAGCCACTACTGCATGCCAAACCACTGCTCCTGATCTGCCCACTGTGCTGCTTCACTGTCGCTGCCTTCCAAGTCCCCCTCCTCTCCGCTGCCCTCCATATCATCCACATCTTCCTCCTGCGTCGCGTCTGTTGGACTCTCCTCCTTTTCCATTTTCTGCATTCCTTCTAGTGACTTCTGATCGTTGGGATCCAAACTGAGGAAAGTAAGAAAAAGAAAGCATTGTCCTGAAACTTTTTTACCTTCCATTTGTGATGTTACTGCAAAGAAAACATCAATCTCCTCTTGCTGTCTGCGCTTCCTGTTCAACATCATCACGAAGTGCAGTTTAGAAGCTTCACCTCAGGCTGACTGTAACGCTGAGTATCAAATCCTTAATAAAACAGTTTTGATCCCCAAGAATGCGCTTATCTAAACATCACACTCTTCCAGAAAACTCAGTCAACTCTCCCAGACAATGCTAATTATTATTAAAAAAAAGCTATAGAAGTTTATGGTAGATGTAACATGCTAGATTTAAGGTACATTTAACTTGTTCCAATCAAAACCTGGTAATATTTGACGTGGTAACACCCTAAAATAATGTTTTGGCTGGGTTAAATTGAATCAATTATTTAAATTGAGTTAATCGCTCATTTTTATATGGCACCTTCTAGTCCACAGGAGTGGATCTTTCAGGTGCCTGACTACACAATGACTGTAAATAAATCCATGCCTTAATCCCTTCGTTGTCAAGGATTCTCACGCCCAGGGCCACGTTTAGCATTAACGCAGCCCCCAGACATGGCACTTCAGCTGAAAGTCTTATGGCCAACTAACTCATGAGCAGGCCATCCTTTGTGTGCTGGAAGGGAGAATGGTAGGAATCTACCCCTGATGCGCATCCTAAGCAATCAGGGGCTCAGCTGTTCACTGAGTCGAGCTGATTTTTGTTTCTTATAAATACACTGCAACCTGAGAGCCTGTGCTTTACCTCAGGGCTATGCTGTACTGGTCCATCGCTTCCTGATACTCATTGACAGCGACGAGGAAGTCTCCCAGTATTCGGTGCAGAACACAGTCACTCTGATTAGCCAGCGCATTCCTCAGCAGAGCAATTCCATCTTCATACTTCTGTTCTCTACCTGTTTGTATGCAAAGCTACAGTTTTAACTATAGTTTAGATAGATCTGTAAAAAGTCAGTGTGCACAAAGAGTCATCACAACACAAGACTCTTTCTGCCTCCAGAATTGTCAGCATGTGGGATGGGGATATTTTTGCAAGATTAACTCTAAATGGCTTTTTGTTGCAATAACTGCTACACTCATGATTCAATTACATCTACTCTGAAGTCACATCATCTTGTTGGCAATTAAGTGCTGGCATAGTATCAGTTGCTAGACACAACTCATTCCGGTGATTTCTCCTTCAGGACAGAACTGACGCATCCCTGGGCTGTAACATCGCTGATGTTCTCCATGCTGATGAGGCTGGAGAAAGCTCTTCCATGTAAAACAGTATGCTTTAAATAAAGGGACATGAGGAAAGAAAAAGGCACTTACTAAGAAGCTCTGCTTTCTTCACCACAGCTTTAGTGTAATCAGGTCTTTGCGTTAGCGCTTTGTCCAACAACGTTTTTGCTTTTTCCTGGGTGACAGGGTCTTCCAGACAGACTGTTGCTAACAGAGTGAGTGTCTGTGCATTTGCCCCCAAGGTTTTATACACATTATTTGCCATAACCATAGCTTCACGGATACTGTTGGATGCCAGGTAACATTCGATGAGACCTGACGATACAACAAGGAAACCATTTCAGGTGCTGAGGCAGCGCTACAGACACACGCCCCTCCGCAATTATTTGCTCTTAATAGCACTCAGACTCCAAACAACAAACACCCCAAATGAGCAAATACAAATTGCAGGTGAGAAAGCGACCCTAAACATTTTAAAATACCCGTTCTGCACAGAACTGACCAGCATTTTTATTTATGGACAAGTACTAGGGAAGGAAAGGACTAACTACACCTAATCTAAGATCTTTGCCCAGTTCCAGTACTGGGACACACTTCACCTGGACTCTTCACAACTCACTACTAGCTGCTGTTGAGATCAACAGGATTGAAATAAAAATGACACAAGTATGACAAAAGGAAGCTTCCAGTGGAATTAACCACATGGTGAACAGCATCATCCAAAAGCGATCTCAGAACACCCAAGTTTATATCCAGATTCACAGAATCATAGAATGGTTTGGGTTGGAAGGGACCTTAAAGATCATCCAGTTCCAACCCCCCTGCCATGGGCAGGGACACCTTCCACTAGACCAGGTTGCTCCAAGCCTCATCCAGCCTGGCCTTGGACACTTCCAGGGATGGGGCATCCACAGCTTCTCTGGGCAACCTGATTAAACAAAACAAAAGCCCTGTTTGAAAATCATTCTTATAAACTGCTTCTACCAGAGCTTTACAGGTTTTTGGGTATTCATAACTTACTACAAAGTCAGCCGGAGAAAAGAACTCCGGTCTACTCCCTTGCCTACTCGCCACCATGACACCACCTTTCGCACTGAACCGATACGGCAGGCGCGCAGAGCTTCGCTGGGCTCACCCTCATAGCAATCCAGCCTGCAGGGTGCAAGGCGTATCGCCTCACGGAAGTGTATAATTGCTTCCTGCACTCGGCCCATGTTCCTGAGAGCAGCTCCTTTCAGCAGCAGAGCTTGAACACTGTTACTGTTAAGCTGGATAGCTTTGGCTCCTAAGTATAAGGCACGAGAGTAGCGTTTACCGTAGAAACTGTGACACCTACGGAAAGACAAGAGGGATTGTAAACGTGTGCTGCCTGTGCACGTTCAAAGGGGTTTAAAAGCAGAAAGAAGGAAAGAAAAAAAGGAATTACAGGCAACTGTTGAACTTCTCTTAGTTGAAGTTAAGAATGCATGTTCAGGAATAAAGCTCGTCAGGAGTTTAACAAAAAAGTAGTATGACCATTAACTGTTACAGCTATTTAATACATCACTGCTATTACAGGTGTGGTAACTCTAATAGGTTTGAACATACAGAAAAGAGCCAATATAGATACTGATGGGTAGCTAATTACAGTTTCTCCAAGAACAGAATAGACAGGATAGAAAAGCACCCTCTGAACCCACTGTATCAGCTGTAATCCACCGCAAGCAGCAAATCAGGAACTGAGCTAAGAAAGGAAAGGAAACACCTTACCCAGACACCACCCAGGGTTCCGCATGCTGGTCAGAAATATTGAAGAGACGGCAGCCCAAGTTCTCCACATCCTCCAGTCGGCCTTCACGTGCCAATAAATAACCATATACATCCATTCCTGAAGTGAAACGTTTATCAGTCATCAAGTAATGGAAAGCTCGTTCACAACAAGGAAAAAACCAAAACCAAAAGCACTAACACCTACCTTAAACTGTGCAACTACCAGGAACAGTTCAAGACACACAGCTTTTGACTGTGAATTCTGAATTGAAGCCAGGTACGAGGTACAATATTCCACTGCACACCTGACTGCATGCAGCTGCTACCCTGATGGTACTCATCAGATCAGTACACTAGGTAAACCTCCTTTTAGGATTTACTCACCTTTTATTAAGTAAGGATCCAGCATTTGTGCTTGTTCAAATTTTAGAATAGAGTTTTTATTATCTCCAGCTCTGAAATACAGGTCTGCTAAGCTCCCCAGTAAGTCTACATTATCTCTCAGCAGTGACTTTTTCTCTAAAGAGCTTTAAGAGGGAAAAAAAAAGAGGCCTGTTATTTATATAATGCCATTTAAAATATACTTTTATATAAATATTAATATATTATTTGATTAAATCATGCTCTTTGAACTCTCACCAAATGGTATTTATTGCCCTTGTGTTATCTCCAGTATGCACAAAAGCATATGCCTTGATCCACACTGAAAGCCAATCCAGGTTGGGAATACTCTGAATTACGTTGATTGTCATGGAGGCCACTTCGGCGCCTTTCACTGAGAGCGAGAGCAGGCCTGTTCAGAATGGTACACACACCGTCAGCCACTGTAAACTGCTTTGAATGCCAACTGACTGTCCGACCACCAGCAGCTCCTCCCCTTGATGGGCATAAACAAGCAGCTTCTTACAAGGCTTTTTGTAATTTGCGTAATGCAGGCGTTGCGTATTACATGCAAATACAAGACTGTTACCTAGTCCCAAGCTTCAATTCAAATCAGAATACTGTTTAATACTGAAATAGAGCGTGCGGGCACCTACCCAGGATGGCATCAAGGGCTAAAGGGCACTGTCTCAGCACTTCTTTGTAGCTTGTAACGGACGAGCGTTCTTGACCCGCTTTCTTGTACAGGTTTGCCAACATCATATTGATCTGCAAGCAGTAGAAATGTGGGTGGAGTCAAGCAGGACAAAGCCTCGTTAAGAAAGGTCTCAATCTGGTGTTCAAGCACGCCTGCCTCCCTCCCCGCTGTTCTGGCCAGAAGACAAAGTTACCTGCTCTACCTCCGAGAACACTACAACACACCACGTAGTATAAAATTAAAATAGTCGCTTCTTTCTGAGTCCAAAGATAAAATTTACGTTATTTTCTATTTGCATAGTGCATCTTGAAATCTCAGTGCTCGGGGTATACAAAGTCAAAAGATGGGCACGCGTTGATATACGATGCCAAGGACGACCTGTACCTCCTACATCAGCCTATTTCGGATGAGCTCCCCCTACCACTGAGGTCTTGGAAAGAACTAGCTTAGGAAGGCAGAGAGAGTTTCCATTTCGCTTTTGAATGAAGTCGTGCTTGATGAAAGAACAGAAATTATTCGAGCTCCACACAACACAAGTAGCTGGTACCAAGTAGCTTGCCAGAACTGACCTTTGGGGTCCTCTGTCTGGAAGGGATCCCATCAAGAATAGCAATGGCATCTTTATCTTGCTTCAGCATTGTGTAGCACTCAGCCATTTTATATTTCACTTCAATTTCTGATGGTAAACACTGAAATAAAACAGAAACATTGAAGTACAATGTTGGTTTAGTCAGGTAAAAGTTTTGAGTAAGGTTTCCTCATTAAAGGCTTACGCCGTGTTGAAAAAAATCTAGTGCAAGAAAGTTAACGATGCAGCCTGCTGACAGCTCACACCGCTCCGCCTGCAGAGGCAACGCATGAACTGCACAGCCAGAACCAGGATGGTCTCCAGCATGGATTTATACGTCTTGCACTACAAAGCCCCACACTGGTATTTTCAAAACGAATTCGCCTTAAATGTCAGGTTTATCTGCACGACAAATCCACAATCTAAGGCTATAATGCTGACTCAGCGAAATTAAACGTAAGGGGGAACATGACTGTTTCACGCAGCACACGAGTGAGTTTTTAAATACCTGGCTTTGGGGAGTTGATGCCGCATTCCCAGTAGAAGGTCTTACTTTTGATGTTTTACTTAAAGCTTTTTTCTGCTGCAAGGCCATTGTGTACTTACTTACAGCATTCCTATACTCTTTATCATGGAAGAGAGAGTCTGCATGGTATACAAGGAGCTGGTATTTCTGAGATGGCGAAAACAGTTCCCTGGAAGATACGCAAACAGAAAGGCTGAGAGCAGCTAACTGCAAATCCTTACAGATCCAAAGTATCCGTAGCTTTAGTTTGTCTGGCTTCAGCTTCCCACTGCTGCTGCTGCTTCAGGACTTCGGAAGGGCCCTTGAGTAACAGGTACTATCTCCTCACAGAGGTATTATCTTGCCCGTTTCCTTTATCTCTAAACAAATAAAGGTAATAGCCATTCCTGACACCTCATCAGTAACAACAGCTTACGTTTAGCAGCTTGGCCACCGTTTTCCCCGTCCTCCCCATAACAACCCACATGTCAACGTCCCTTAAAGCACGTTTTGTTGGAAGGGGCTGGAGCTGAAAAGGCAACCCAGCTCCTTGTTCAGCTATCCTGGTCCTAATCCACATGGTTTTACAAACCACCTTCATAGCACTTCCAGCACGTTTGCAGAAACGGTGAAGAGTTAGGGTTTCAGGAGGAAATCCGGGCTGTAATTCGTACCTCACAGCCCATTCAGAGAGTAAAGTGACACCTTAGGGGCGAAAAGAAAGGGAATCACTTGAGTCAGGGGAAGAGCCGTGAGCCACACGGGCATCCCTGCAAGGAGCAAGTCGCTTCAGCTCTACCCGGGCCCTCGTGTCGCCCCGGGTACGCCCGTGCAGGGGCTGCGCTGCCCGCGCGGGGCCCGGAC